GTAAACTGTACCTGAGTGCAGGCGCGTGGCAGAAAAGAATCAAATCATCTCAGATTCAGATGGTTTCATGGAAGTTACAACACTTTGAAAACTGCAGTAAGGTTTGTGTTATTCCAGCTCAAAGTTACTAACCAGAAGTATAAAGTTTAAAACACGAGCATGATTAACAAGGGTTTTTGGTTCTGATACTGCTGCCTCTTCTACTTCGCCACTGAATGTTTTGCCTAAAATAAACGTTCTACTACAGGAAAGAAAGGTTGACACAAGCACCATGGGTCAGGCCGTTGTGACAGAGGTGAACTCGTTTAGCACATTACATTTCATTAGCCACTTCCCCCCACACCCCAACAAACAGCTGAGAAATTCCATAAACACTTGGCCTGCCAGCCAGCAGCACAGAGGGCCCTTTGAGGAGAGCTGAAGCCGCAGGAGCACAGGGCTGAGGCTGAGCACGAGGGAGGATCACCGAGCCCGAGGAGGCTCGTAAACAGGCCCGAGCCTTTCCTCTGCATGTATGTTAGTAACTGCACAGAGGAGCTTGAGGAAAACCTAAAGTGAACCGTCTTGCATAGTTTCGAAACAAATGTTTTTGTTGAGTTTTCTGACAGAAACAAAAGGCCATTCATGGCTTTTACTGTGAGAGCAGCTGGCGATGCCTGGCCTGGTGTACTGATGGCCTGCCAGCTTTTGACCACTTTACCCAGTACACTGCACAGAAGAACAGGTGCCTCACTTGCTCACGCACACATACACGCACACACAAAGGCAGACTTGGCAGCCCTCAAGAGCTGCCAGCACTTCCTCTTGTAGGCTTACATTTACTTAAGGAAAGGGAGAGGCTGACTTCTTCCCCTTCTTTACCCACCAAACTTCAGATGTTGATACGTAGGTGCAACGATAGGCCTGTCTGGGCTTACACGGGGAAGCTCAAATATTTATGAGTCCACAATTACCCGGAGGACCGGTGTGACTCCTGCTGAGGCAGCAAGTGGTGGTCTGAGGCAATCAGACGAACGTTAGTCACCTTCCAGATAGACACTTTCTATTAATGTCACAGCGACAGCAGACAGGCCCATCTACGCTCAGAAACGGTGCCATGTCCTGACTGAGGCAGGCTCGGGCTAAAAGCATCCTAAAAGACAATCTCCTGGTTTTTGCAGAGAGGATCACGATTAAACTAATGGGAGATTATCATTTTCCCTTTTGGCTGACCTTTTTCTTTTACGCCCTCTCACTATAACACATTAACCACGAGACAGTCTACACACCCAGACTCTTCTTTAGCCACAGGCACGTCAGCGTTGTGATGATAATTAATTATGGCAAAATAAACCCATAAGAGAGCTGGCCTCCTTAAAGGTCCACAGCTAATCAGCAGCTCTATTCACAGTCAGGCTTGACAATTGGCCTAGTTAAACCAGAAACCAGGAGACAACACTTATTTCTTCTATTCATAGGAAAAAGTCCCCTGAGATGCATCAATTTTAGACTGGCCATTTCACAGAGTTCTCACAGCTGAGACACAGTAGGACAAGCACGCGTTTGTTTAGAGAAGTTCGGAGGTGTCACTAACGGTAAGTCACTCATTTTTTCCCCAGGCGCAGGCGGACTGCCACTACGGCACTCCCACAACAGCAGCACGGACCCTGCGAAATGACATGGTGACAGAGTGCAGAAAACCCCCCTACCACCACCCAAACATGTGCAGTATATGGCAGTTTGTCTAATGGTTACAGAATGTGCAGCTGACTGGACCATAAAGCGCCTTTACAAGCCTTCTTTACTCAGTCGTTTCAAGAGATTTTAGTCAATGCCGCAGTGCTTTGTGATAAATGCAACAAGAAAAAACACTTTCCAGCAGCTCCCTGAAAGTCAAGAACCACAACAAAGAGCAATTTATTGCAAAAGCTGGCCTCAAACCAGCTCCCTGCTTGAGGACTAACTTAACAACGTGCAAAAAATAAATAAATTATTACAACATGAAATCCAGACTTCTGGTAATCCACAAAGCAAGGTCCACATGACGCAGGTTTGCCATTATGTCAGCAACATGTCTCCTCTGAAGAAAAGAAAAAAAAGGCTGCACTTCAGACTCTTTCTGTAGTCAAAGTGTCAAGCAGGCATTACGTATCAAATAGGGAAACACAAAAGGTCAGTTGATTGGTCATGGGATGCACTATTTGGCATAGAAAGTCCAAACCTTTGTAACTGCTAATTAGTTTTTATTTAATTAGGTTTTTGCT